GACGAAAATCATATAGAGAGTTCTCTCTGCAGAAAATCGATACTGAGTCATCAACAAAAAAGCATTCACCAGGTCTAAGCCAGTGCTCAGTGAGCAAAATAAGATGAGGAAAGTCTACACTCTCCAAAAACACGTCACATTTATGTCTTTATGATTGAATATTATATAATACCACAAAAAGATCGTACCTAGAACATACATTACTATTCTTATAATCAGTGTTACTATTTGGCATATCGATAGTATCATCATCAGTTACATTATCAATCATTACAAAATTATTCTTGCCTAGTGACAACGCCAATGAAGGGCCTATCTGGCAATTACTTATTCTAAAAAAAAAACCTGTTTTATAAGGCAGCTCAGATGACGTCATCAAGTTACCTATTACCAGACTTGGGGCCAGGAGGAAGAGTCTAAAAGGTAAACATTCGTCATTAGTTAAGGGGAGGACCCATGTGTGATCGGGATGGAATCTAAGGGAAAATTTCGCTATTGGGCAAAGCGAACCAACTGATAATTCAAGATGGCGACGTGGGCATAGCAAACTTGAGAACCGTGAAGGTAAGTTTACATTCAATTCCCATTCAAATTGGAATTGTCAAGTCTGTTATGCCTACGGCGCCATATTGAATAAAAAGACCGTCAAATCGCGTTATTTGTTGAGGGGAGACGTCTAAAAGAAGGGAGAGAGATGGAATCGTAACTAAATAATAAAATTATACAGAGTGAGAGAGATGAAATCAATTTGTGTCTATTCTTCGCTCTTGAATTAAACACAGTCAAGTGCCATAAGATTATTGTTGAGAATGTGAATATTTTTCCAAATTTTTTGGTTCAAATTGAGAATTTTAATCATATTATTATCACAGTCTGAGCGATATCATAGATTAACTCATTACGATAATGCTTAAACTGTGTGAACATTGTTCTGTGAAATTTTAAATAAATGTTATTGAATCAACACTATTGACCTGTCAGTAACATTGACAGTTAAACAACTTGGTTGACAACTGACGTTTAATTCAATGTTTACTTGTCAACTGTGACGGGACCCGGATGGCAGAAAAATTATTAGTTATTATTATTATTTATTATGTAAAATAATTTTTCTAATAAATGTCATTTGTGTTACAAATTGTACGTCACTAGGGGGAGGAGTCTTAAAGGGAGACGTTTGGCGTTGATAAAAGGGAGGAACCTAAAAGAAGTCCATTTGTGATTGGTTAGGGAGAGGAGCTTGGAGAAGGAACGGAAGGGGTCGTCGAAAGCAGCTCAATATCTACTGGTCATTCTCGTTCTAGCTTCTAGACTGTGAACGCGAACAACCTTACCAAAATAGTTTGTAAATTATACATATACAGAAAAACATAAGATTATTGTTGAGAATGTGAATGTTTTTCCATATTTTTTTTTTTTTTTTTTTTGTTCGAATTGAGAATCCTAATCATATTATCACAGTCTAAGCGCTATCATTAGAAATTATATGATTACGATGGTGGTTAGAATGTGTAAACATTGTTAAGGAAACTATACAGAGTGACAGAGATGAGATCAATTTTTGTCTATTCTCGGCTCTTGAATTCAACTCAGGTTATATGTGATAGATTGGCCAGGGAGTCTTAAAGGTGAACTTTCACAAATCGAGGGGAGGAGTTCGTAATTCCGAAATTATGTATAGTTCTCGTAATTTTCGTATTTTATTTTGGGAATTTTCGGAATTTTGTAATTCCTGTCATTTCTCAGATAATTCTCGTTATTTTCATAATACTTCCTTAGTTTTTACAATTTTCGAAAAACTCGAAATTTTCGTAATTCCCATTATTTTCGTAATTTCTCAAAAAAATTCCGTTAGTTTTATAATTCCCCTTGTTTTTGAAATTTTCGAAAGTTGGTAATTTCCGTATTTTTTGTTTGGGGGATTTTCGAAATTTTTTAATTCCTGTCATTTCTCAGATAATTCTTGTTATTTTTTTTCCCCTTTATTTTTTTCAATTTTTGGAAAACTTGGTAATTTTCGTTATTCCCGCAATTTTTCGCGCTTTTCCCATGGTGATGTTTTTATAATTTCAGTAATTATTTGTATTTCCAATTTTTTAATTTTCAACTTTCCTAATTTCCAAAAAAATTCGGAATTTTCTAATTCTCCCTAAGTTATTGTAAATTTCGTAATTTCAAAAACTTGTGATTTCCGTTATTTTGGGAATTACCGTAATTCACGTAATTTTGGAATAACTTTGTAATTCTTTCCCGTAATATTTCGTAATAACCGTAATTTTTGTAATTTTCGTAGTTTTTCGTATTTTCCTTAATTCTCGTAATTTTTATAATTTCTCATAATTCCCGTGAATTTTCATTTCCGTCATTTTACTAAGTTCCGTAAATTTTTATAATTCCCATTATTTTTCGTAATTCCCGTAATTTGTCTTGTATTCGTAACTTTTCAAAAATTAGTAATATTTGAATAATTGACGTAATTTTGGAGTAACTTCGTAATTCTTTTGTGTAATATTTGGCAATTCCCATAAGTTTTGTAATTCCCGCAATTTTTTGTTATTCCGTGATTCTCGAAATGTTCCGTAATTCTCGTAAATGTTTGCAATTCTTATAATTTTTCATATTTTACGTACTTTAACGTAATTCCTGTAATTTTTCGTAACTTTTCAAAAATTATCGTTATTCTCGTAATTTTGAAATGAGGAAAAATGAGAATAAATCGCGGAAAGTGATGATAAAATCGCAAAAAAAAGAGTCAAAAATCGCAAAAAAAAAACATGAGTCAAAAATTTCAAAAAAAGTGAGTTTGAATTCGCGGAAAAATAAGATGACTCGCGGAAAAATGAGGATAAAGTCACGAAAAGTGAGGATAAAATCGCGGAGAATGAAATAGGAATCGCGGAAAAGTGAGGATAACATCGCAAAAAAAAGTGAGAAAAGAATCGCGGAAAAATGAGATAATATTTACAGAAAAATGGGTTTACAAACGCGAAAAAGTGGATTTAGAATCGCGGTAAGTGATGGCAAAATCGCAAAAAAAAATGAGTCAAAAATTGCAACAAAAATTTATTCAAAAATCGCAAAAAAAGTGAGGTCAAATTCGCGGAAAAGTGAATAAAAAATCGCGGAAAGTAGTGAAAAAAATCGCGCAAAAATGAGGTAAGATGAAATAGCGGAAAAATAAGTTTGTAATCGCGGAGGAGTGAGGGTAAAATCGCAAAAAAGTTAGGGTGAAATCGCAAAAAAGTGAGGCTGAAATCGCAAAAAAAGTAAGGACAAAATCGCAAAAAAGAGAGTCAAAAATCGAAAAAAAAAGAGCCAAAAATCGCAAAAAAGTGAAGACAAAATCGCAAAAAAAAATGACGCAAAAATTTCAAAAAAAGTGAGCGTAAATTCGTGGAAAAGTGAGATAAGAATCGCGGAAAAATGAGGTAATATTTGCGGAAAAGTGGGTTTACAATCGCGGAAAAGTGAATTTAGAATCGCGGAGAAGTGATAGTAAAATCTGAAATTTCTAAATTATGACGTCATCGAGGACGTAAGTAAGTACAAAAAGTACAAAAAAAAATAAATAATTTGGTTGCACTGATTTTTTATATTAGTTTTAGGTAGTGCCACTGTAGGTACCTAGTGCTATGGTGGGATGCCGAATGGGAGTGCTAATTTTTGCTTTAGGGGTGCTGAGGCAACATATTATAAGCATCATAATTCCTTAAACCCAATGTATCGAAACTCAATTACTCAGAACATATATAAGTTCTTGGAAAGTTCATATATTGAAACTCAATTAATCAGAAAAATTACATTTCAAGACGATTGCAAAATAATTCGACGACATCATGGAATAATGATGCTTTTACCGACATTGAAACGACTAGGTTCCTTGATTTATTAATACAAAACAAGTCCAGATAAAAGTTACAATAAGCACATTAAATTCTGTTGCCTCCAATACTCACACATGCTTTAGTATCTCTTAATGCATTTCGCAGCCGTGTTGTTGTTTTAAGAATTCTTTGTTTGCAACAATTACAAAACAAAAACGTTTATGCAGCAATTTCGCGTTGAGGTCACATTCACACGTATTAAACCCGTAAAAATCTGGTTTAACTGTCTCTGCCTTCGTCAGGAAATTACCTAACAACAAAAACTGACCGGTCCATATCCCTCCGTCAGTCAGTGGGAAACCTTGAAAGTAGCATCAATCGGATCGGATATGCCTTTTTTGGTTCTTGTTGTTCAGACAGGGGCACATAATATAATACTACTCTCATGTTTCTAGGAAATGCGGGTATCATTTTGCCTTTTGTAAACCCGCCATTGCTACAATAGATAATTAGAGCCTCCTAATACATAATTCAACCATTTGTATCTCTTTTGTGTCACATATGATTATTCAATTAAAATCTAACACTAGTGTCAAGCTTTTTTAAAGATTGAATTAACGGGTTGAAAACTTGTTATATTACAGTAATATTTGTTCAATGCACCACCAAAAAATAGTAGGTATTTACTTTGCGCCTCTAGTACTACTAACCCAAATGATTTGGATCATTTATTTCGGTACCCATTCACCTGTGTTCATTTTTAAATAAGTAGGTACTCGGTACTCATATCCATCAGTCATACATAATTATTTGAGATGATTAAAATGAATCACGTATATTTATTACGTCCGCATATTACTCTTATCATTATCGCTTTTGCTGTTTCGTCAAGCTAATTATTTATGTGTGTGTGCTATTTTCTATGAATTTACAAGGCGTGTTTTTTTTTAACAAAGCGATTACTCATATTAAAAAATGTAATATTAATTGCATTAGTTAATTAATAAAGAAAATGTCTGTTGTGACTACACCTACGCAATCATTGCTCGAATTGACCCGATGACCTATCTCTCTAAACTTATTAGATAATGCACTTTTTCTTTTTAAACCGTCAATAATAATTATTATTAAAGTTGCAATAATAAGTACAAAATTACTTTTCGAAGTACTACGTACCTTCTTCAAAGTTACTTCTTCTTGAAGCTGCCAAACACTGTTGCACTGTACCAGCTAATCCCAACAGTACCACGACAACTTTGCGCCACATAGTCGAAACACTACATCAAACCGTTTACTTTTTTGGTACCTAAGTACTTCTGTAAGTAAACACAGGTGTCATAATTTTTCGTTTAATTGCACCGACAAATGCAGCTGGGAATGCGAAAGTGGTACCTGATGGTTGAACGCACTGGGTCGCAGCATTCAGTACCACGGCGGTTCTTGGACTATAGTTAAAAAAAATAAAGAGCGCGCTTTGCCCGTGAGGCTTAGATCTGTACGATGTTGCCAGATATGTTGAGAATACCCTAAATAATTTTCAAACATCTATTAGAAATGATGATGATGATGAAAGTCAGATTGTTTTCAAAGACCTGAAATCATGTAATCTTCGTATTAAAACGTTCCTTGTTAGTGTTTTAAATTCTACAGAAAAATATTTGCAAAGTGTAGTATTAGAATCTAATACGATGCGATGAACATTGGCAACGAAGCATTGGTACTACAATCTTCCGTGATGGTGAGGAAAAAGGTAAAAGGATGCCCCAGGTCTCGTGATCATAACAAAGAACCTGTTGCTTTATATTCATTAAACTCCTCTGGGCAACCTTTTGCTCTGTTGTTTGTTTTTCTAAGAATTTGCTTTGGAAAATGAATTGGTGTTCCCAGGCTGGGTATGTATGGTACTCACTTTCATGTCCTTTTATCATTTTTACAATTATACTTTCGGGTAGAAATTATCCCCTGGGTGTTTGATCGCTAAAAAGTTAAAGTTAAATATCAGCCATAGGTACCAAAAATCTTAGCTTTTCTATATTCTCTTTAGCCTGTCACCAACTTGGTATACCAGTTTCTTGTCTATGCTCCTTGCAAATGGCCATTACAAGAAAAATAAAAATACCAATGGAAGTATTTCAAAACCATTTTTTTATTGCAATTTTTCCTTGGTTAATATCAGGTAGCAAGGAAGCTTTCGAAAGAATAAATTAACTTTTATATCGTCTAGGTAGGTACTTTGTATAATAAAGGATTAGTGCCACTGTGCTGATGAATTCTATTTGGAAAATAATTATTTATTTGTATAATAAACTTTTATTCAAATTCTTTTTCTTTCTTATTGTGTTGATATCTTAATAAAGACACTTTCAAAATGTTCCATTTCGCAATAGTTGTTGAGATTGTGCACAATCTCGCAACACTGTCTGAATACTAGAAAGTTGCTGAATGGACTTCGCTGTGCAATATAGTGCAGAGGAAGTGAATTATCTAGAAAATTCTAGGAGCAACAACGCGCTATGAAACGGAGTCAGCCACCGAGGTCGATAAATTAGATGCAGCGTGTCTGATAATTACTAGAAAGCAATAAGTCGCTAGTAAGACCGTGAGTTCTGATTTAGTTTTCTGACTATGTAAGTACCTTTTCCGACAGTAGGTATTTCAGAAACCTTCAATTGTAGGTATTTTAGAATAGTCGTAGGTAATACCATAAGAGCTCAGATTTAGCCGGAGAGCAAGCAAAAAAATATCCTGCTCAAAATCTGAGCTCGAATGGTATTTAGTTCGGCAATTCCACGAATGTAACATCAAAATAAAAAATGTATTTATCTCAGATAACAAAACAACGAATTTCGCAGTTATGAGTACCTACTAGGCTTAACTATGGTAAAGATAGAACCAACAGAAAATTTATCCGATTTTTTTATCCAGTTATATTTTCTCTTCCTTCCTATTTATCCGCTAGCAAACTACGATTTTTGACATTTCAAATGGGATTATTTATACATGAGTGGAATTGTCATTTGTATTTTGGAATAACCACTTAAATTATTGGAAATGCTTCAAATGTAGTTTAGAAAAACTTATTTAATTTAGGTTTCTTTAAAATTCCCCTCTTTTCCCAGATAGCACAGGCAGTGGCACAGGTGGTCCCCTCGTCTGTTGGATGGAATATCGGTTCCGTTATGGTTCCGGTTTTAAGACAAATATTTCGATTCAGTTCGGACCAATAGTTTCGGTTTTAACGGTTCATACCGGTATAGTTTTTCACAAATATCTAACAGAAAAATGTATGTTTCTGTATTTGTGGTTTATTTTTCATTGGAATTCTCTGCCTATCTCCAACAAGTTTAATAATAATAATTGTTATTAAAATGATACATCTTTGAGTTTTCGATCAATTAATTTGATAAAAATCTCAATCCACCCACCACGCCAAAGTACCAGCGTGTCGTTACTCGCCTTGGCGTAGGGTGGTTGCACGACTGGTTATGATCGCGCTGATTTTTGATTTTTTTTGCATATTTGGTGTGAGTACATTATTTAATATTCTAACAGCCCTTGTTTAGTTGCCGTTTGCATCTTCCTTTTGCCTATTATATTAATCAAAATTAAATAATATTTTCATCATAAATGTATAAGTAGTCTCAACTATGACCGCTGGTACAAACCGTTAACGACACCGTTGATGACGGCGGCAACGGTGCAACACCGTGTGAACTTGATTCCAAAAGTCGAGTAGTAGTGTGTAAAATCCTTGATGTAGACTAGCCGAGTTTAGAAATGCGTGCTTTCTTACGCTCGTTTTTTAATGGCCGTTTGCACCCAAGGATAATAAATACTACTACTACAGGATAGCCTATCCTCATAAGGCCTGTGTAGAACAAATCTGAAGCCCACCACCGCGCCAAATCACCAGTTCTGACGTAGCAGGATGTCGTTTCTCTTCTTGACGTAGGTTGTTTGCACCACAGGTTATCCCGCGGGCAGTTTAATTACTTGTCCGCGTTCACCAGATAAAAACGTTGGTAAACGCTTTGCAATTGTTCTGTTAAGAGTGTTTATAATTTTCAACACTTTATGTGGTGACGGTGACATGACATTCAGAGGATAACGTTCTAATAAAATTAGGTGTGTTTAATAAAGGGATTTCTATTGGATGAAACGGTTTAATCATTGAAAAAATGAAACGTTCAGCAAAACCAAGAGTTTACCCAACGTATTCTATTGGTATTTGTAAACTGTTTACAACCCGTTTTGGTTCTGGTGAACGAAAGCCATTATTTAACATTCTACAACTATTTTTTAGATCTCGTTTGCATCTTCCCGTTTGCCTATCATGTTAATCAAAATTAAATAATATTTTTCATCATAAATTTAAATTCTAAACTACGACCGTCGACCGCTGGCGCGAACAGCTGACGTCGCTAACGACTTAGTTAATGACGTCGGTAATGGTGATACAGATACACCAATATGGCTGCGATCACCAAAAACGTGGCCCACAAGCAATCCTTAGTAGTGTGTATTATCCTTGGGTTGCAACGATCATTTTAAGGAAGCTTAATGATAATTATTCCTCAAAGTGACATTTCTCCATGTAAAAATGTCATTCTAAGGAATACTTATCGCTAGGCATCCTTAAAATGGTCGGTGCAAACCAAGGATGATACACACACCCACAATAACAACTATAAGGCATGATACTCCTATAAGGACTGCTTATCGGCCTCATTTATGGTAATCGCCGCCATATTGGTGTGTTGTCATTTCTGACGTCATAGTCATAACTAAGTCGTTAGCTGTTTAAACAGCCTACGCCAAGCCGAGAAATAACATGCTGCCTACGTCACAACTGGTAATTTGGCATGGGGGGATTTTTTACACACAGGCCTTATAAGGATAGCCATCCTGTAGTAGTAGTATGTATCGTCCTTGGATGCAAATACTGCAAACGACCATTAGAGTGTTAAATTTATGACGATACGACCAAACAGCAAACAGCCTAATTTATGAAATCTTGAAACCGAAAAATACCGGTAGGAACTGATTGATTTTCATCGGTTCTGGTTCTGCCTGCCTTACAATATTTCCTTTGAATATTTCTATAAAATATGGGTTTCGTTGCGGTTCCGGTTCGCGAAAAAAAAAAACAGTTCCGTTCCGATTTTTGGTTCCATATCGTTCCGGTCAGGATCCCTGCCTATGAGGATAGGCTATCTTGTAGTAGTAGTGTGTATTATCCTTGCAGGCAACCTACTTCTCTCAAAGAACTTTGGTCTGAAACAACCTTGGCCTGCCCAAGGTTTTTTGAGAGAAGTATAGGTTGCCAGGATAACTTTATGATCCATCTGGAGCTGGAGTGTCTCAGCAAATCTCCATGAGGCACCCCAGATGCGCCATCAGGTTACCCATTACCAGACAAACTGGTTAGCCTGATAACTTTTATGACGTCATCTGGGATGCCTCAACATAATCCGTATTATTTTTTGTCATCTTTTTCATCTATTTGCTCCGAAATTTTGACAGGCACGTGATTTGTAAATTGAAACTGTCTGATCCGATCACGTACCTGTCAAAATTTCAGAGCAAATCGACGAAAAAGATAACAAAAATGAACACGGCCATAAGAATTCTATTCCTTTAAAAGAGTTTAGAACATTCGAGCTACTCGCTGCGGTGTTAGTCGCCCCTGATTTGAAAGAGACAGATGCGTGGTGCAACAAATATAAAATACAGTTGGGTAGGTTCCACTACTTATAACTCGAGAACGGCTAGACTGATTTTTATGATTTTTGCTTTATCGGATTTGTCTTTGTCCCGAATAACATAATAAATCGAAAAGATCCAAAAACAAACAAACAAACTAAAATCAAAATTACTTATTTTACTTATTTATGAAAAAAATTCACTATAAGCCCACATACGGCGCCATCTCTTATAACCGATACCAAATTTACCACCACATTTTCATTGCAAACCATTTTGTATACGGCGCCATACAGAATGGTGGATCCATTGGTAAAATTTGATGGCAATTAGAAAGCAGGATAACTGCTAGCTTGGGGAACACAAGCCTTTTCAATGACGTGGTCTGCGTGTCGTTTTTCGCATTAACGTATAGTGTTTGCACCACCACAGCCTATGATTTCACTGGATTTTGCTTAGGAATACTTGGTTTTGGTACATTAATTAACATTCTAGAACAACCCTTTTTTTATTTCGTTTGCATCTTCCTCTTTGCTATTATAGTTCTGTTCCAACCGCCATGAGAACTGTTCTATAACGGTTCTCATCTCGGTTGGGACAGTGCTCTGTTAATCAAAATTAAATATTATTTTTCATCATAAATACATATTCTTATTTACTTACACTGGCGCAAAAAGCTGATGACACCGTTGATGATGTTGGCGACCATACGACCTT